TAAAATAGTTAAAATTTTGAGCGGGAAAGTTTTTTAATGCGTTCATAAGCAACTGAAAATTAGGAGAAGAAAAAAATTTTAAATTGGCATAAAATTTTGTCGATTTCTACAACAATCTATATAAATGTGTTTTCAAAAACTTCTGCTGAAATATGAAGAGTTGTATTTGTAAAGCATTTAGTGAGATCTGTAATTATGTACTCAGCTTTTTGTTTTCATAACTTCTATTCATCAGAATAAAGTCATTAAGTGTAAGGGGGGCGAAAAAGGAATTTTAAAGAAAAGATTATTTTTACAAAATGACTCAAAATTTCCTGAGTTAGTATAAGTAATTATGTAACTCAAATAATTAAATATTTGTGAAAATTTGGTTAGCCTCTCTCTGTCTTACCCATATTTTTGTATAGATATAGAACATAATTAGATATCGATAATGAGTATCATAGATAGTGGAGGTTATAGAATGAGCATCACAATATATAATTATGTTTGTCACAAAAGCAGCCACTTATAACTGTCCAATGAACATAACTGTCGGGAATCGCGTATGAATGTCATATAGAATGCTTTATAATACCAAGAATGTTATAAAAATGACGGTTATCTGATATCAACATTTACCGAACTTTCCAAAATGTTTAAAAATATAATATTTAAGAGGTGGCAAGTTTGTTTAAAAAATTGTACGCATTTCAATCACGGTGTTTGTCGCTATAATCAGAAGCTCGTCATCGATATTTAGACTATTTCTCGATAACCTACCGAGTTCAAATTTTATACTCACACCGTTTACGGACGGAAATATGGTTTGGTAAACCGAGTTTTATAAAATTCGATTTAGAGATCTTAAAATGTAATGTTGAAACAAATTTTTGCGCATATTTCCATTTAAAGAATAAACTAAAAATCTCACAGATTTTAAGTTTGTATCACTTTACAGAGCATAAAATAGCTTTTGAAATAAAATTTGCATAAAATTAATATAATTTCTCATTTTAGGTGAATTTTTAAAACTTTATACTTTTATGAGGTAAAAGGATTTTGGAAGTAAAAAACTGAACCAAAAAGAGAAAAATAATTTGTGGTACAGATTTAATTGGAATAACAGCCTCTTTGAAAAATTCCTGCACAGTTTTATAACAAGAATAATAGATTCTTAAATAACGAAATCAAATAGTGGATTTTTGGTATTTTTTTTACGATTATGTAAATGTTCATCTGTAGAATGAAGCTGCAGTTGCAGTTTTTCAACAGTGGGAGGTAAATAAATACAAAATAAATTTTAGGTTGTGCAAAATACCTTTTTTTTTTTTTTTTTTTTTTTTTTATCTAGTCTATTTTAATTTCATTAAAAAAAAAACTTTCTGTTTATAGCATAATCCATTAAATTATTTCTCCACCAGTGTCTTTAGTCATAACCTGTTGAATTACATTTAAGCTAACTACCAGCAAAAGGGATTTTAATTTCATATACTTTTCAAGATTAAGCTGCTATACGTGCATATTATGTTGCAGCTAACAGTAGGTAAAGAATGGCTAATGCTGCATTTTAAATTTTAAGCACTTAAGTTCATAAGAATATTGTTCTATATTGAGCGTTTTCATTTAATAAACTTAAACCATTTTGAGAAGAGCGTAATTTAGAATAGAATATTGGAAGAATCTTAGCATTTTTCCATGTAATGACATTCGTGATTTTGATGTGACCAGAAGAGAAATAGAAACATTTTATACATTTTTTTTAAAGCCTGAGTACATGTACACTATCTACCAATAAGTGTTTGGACACCTATGATAGAAAAGAAAAACAAAATTTATTCGTATTTAATACTAGATAGAGCCTTCCCAAGTGGCCATGAACCTTGATTTGTTGCTCCAGAGAACTCATTTTCACTGATCAGTGGTCCACTGTCAACATGCTTTGCACCATATTAACCAAGCAACATGTTTGAACTTTGTGATCAGAGGTTTATGGACAGCAGCATGCCCGAGAAAACCAAGTACATGTGCTTTTTTACAGAGGGTATTCAGTGAAACGGCACTCTTGGTACCCTGTTGAAACTCATGGAGTATGTGGGCAATAAGTTGAGTGTGGTTCTTCCGACAGCATCTGTCGGTTCCTATCTCCTAGTTTCGCTGTTTTGCTGACTCAAAGCACATTCCAATAATCACCCCTCACCTGCCACTTCTGAATCACATAGGCCACTATCAAATTTGGATAATTTAGCTTACTAGATATGTCCCTTAAGGATCGGCTGTTTTTGTGATACCTGATGCTTACACCTTTCTCAAAATCAGATAACGCTGCATACTTTGTAGCATTGTGCTTGCCACTAATGCCAATGTTGTTTTCTACATGATATTTAGTGGAGGGTGTGATGTATATTAGGACTGCATATATCAGCATTTGAATAGGTATCCAAATATTTATTGGTAGATAGTGCACAAGGCAAATACAAATTAAATTTCCATATGTGCTGTATCTTTATCTGCTTGCCAAACTGAACCAAACCTAAACTGCCTATTAATTTAAGTATAAGAGAAGATTTTGTACAAGGAAAATGATTAATTAAAATGCTACTAGCAGGGGAATATATGACACTGTGTAGAAAACATTAGCACTCCATTTCACATAAAAATGATCAAACCTTGAAGTTAAAGTTAAGTTTTATTTTTTCAGAAGCATATAAAAAATAAAAAAATAATTTATTTAAATAAGAAATATTATCTTCACATCTAGAAATAATTAATTACCTGTTGAAGAAGTGGCTTTTGCATGCCATGGGAACTGCTTTTTGTTGATCAGAAAATCTATTTGGGTGCTGTGTGTTCAGTTGATGCACATAATGTAAACAGTATTCTCTATAAACTTCTCATATTGGACAAACTAGAAGTCCCCATTTTTTAAGTGTCTCTCCAGTCAAAAATTCCATAGCTTGATGTCAGGAGTGAAATGGTTAAGCAAGACAAAAATAATATATTTCCTCCCTCCCATCAAAAACTTATATTATTCTTCCTGTATATTTTTTAAAGTGCATTTTGTATTGCAAATGTATTTTTCTGGAAAATTATTTTCATATGCTGTGAGTTTGTAAATTCAAAGAAGTTAATAAATACAGTGGTGGCCAAAATTGTTGACTTTTTTGGAAATTTTTATGTTTTTGAACTTTGTGTGCTTATAGAAAATGTTATGTTTCGCAAAATGCAAACTTGTATATATCATTTTAAAGCGAATTTATTACTGAATTCAATACAAAACACAAAATTCAATTATTTGCAATACAGAAAAAGTTATATGACTTTAAAATAAATAAAAAACACAGTTATGAAGTGGTTCGTAATGTCTTGCTTTCCTGGCCAATCACTGTTCTTGTTCTGAGAACTAGTCAAATGTTAGTAACTGCCAGTAGAAGCTGACATCGTGTTTACACTTGAAACAATTCATTATTTTGCTTTGTTCGTAGAAGGAGGACCTGTTTCTTATACACTGCAATTACAAGTAGGAATTTTGTTAAAAATTTTTATATATTTAGTCAAGAAGCAATGACATCAAAAAAAGAGTAGATTGGACACCTAGAAAGAGATGTAATATTATTGTGTTACAAGAAAGTGGTCTTTCCTATGCTGAAATTGCAAGACAGGTGGGTGGTTCAATGACTACATCTGGAGTCCGAAAGTTTTGTTTACGATATCGGGAGACAAATTCTATAAAAAACAAAGAAGGAAAAGGCAGAAAAAGGTGCTCCACATCTATTGATGACAGAAGAATAAAAAGACTATGTCTCCAAGATAGAAAAATGTCATCCAGCAGCCATCAGAAGTGATCTGAATGATGCTGGTGTTTCTGTCAGTTCAAGAACAATCAGGAGAAGATTAACAAATGTTGAAGTGAGAGGTAGAATTCCATGAAAAAAGCCTTATCTTAATTTTCAGCAACAAAAAACAAAAAAAAAAAAAAAAAAAAAAAAAAAAAAGACTACAGTGGGTAAAGGAACACATTAATTGGACAGATGATTCAGTGGTCACAAGTTATATGGAGTGATGAAACTTAAGATATCGTTATTCGGTAGTGATGGGCGAAAATATGTAAGACATAGAATAGGAGAAGAGCTACATCCTGACTGCATTCAAGCAACTGTGAAGAATCCAGTTAGTGTTATGATTTGGTCATGCATGTCAGCAGATGGTATTGGTCGCCTTCATGTCATCGATGGGACACTGAATGCCAGAAAATACACTGACACTATTCTAGAACCAAAACTTCTACCTTCCATCAGAGATCTCTTTCCCAACAATGCTTCGTTTATTTTTCAGCAGGATTCTGCCAGGAAACACTCCTGACCTCAATCCTATCGAAAATTTGTGGCACTGTTTGAAAACTCTTGTCCGAATGAGGCGCTTATCAAATAAAAGGGAACTAATTGAGGCTATAATTGTTTCCTGGCATCATGTAATAACGAAAGAAGAGCTTAAAACTCTTTTTAGCTCAATGAAATGTTGATGTGAAGCTGTAATCAAAAATAAAGGGTACCCTACTAAGTACTGATAACTCACTGCAATCATCAATATCTAATGCATATCGATAACTATTATCATTTAACTTTTTTTGTATTGCAAATAATTGAATTTTGTGTTTTGTATTGAATTCAGTAATAAAGTCTCTTTAAAATGATATATACAAGTTTGCATTTTGTAAAACATAACGTTTTCTATAAGCATACAAAGTTCAAAAACATAAAAGTTTCCAAAAGTGTCCACAAGTTTAGCCACCACTGTAAATGCAGTTAAAAACCTCTAAAACTGTCGCACATAATTTCAAGTAATTTAGGTCTTCTTTAGTAGTCACTTTAACGAAATAATGTTGAATGCTAAAGTTTATATTCTTTTTTCATATATATTGGCATCAACAGGATATGATCACTGTAGCAGGTTTCACTCTACTTGTTGAATTGTATTATTATTTCTTTCTATTACATTGTATGGATTTTCTTTTCATTTAGCATGATATGGCCACTTCGTTATTGCTGTGATTATCGGCCTTTCTTTACTATTCATGATAGTGAATTCAAAGAATATACTACAAAAGTACAAGCACCGTAAGTAGTTTGTAATTTACTATTTTTTGCATTTAAAGTTGTTCAAAATAGTCACCATTAAGAGATACTTTTTATGTATATGATTTTTCTTTAATTAAAAAAAAAAACTGTGCCTTCATTTAAAGTCATCATGCTTTTTTTAAATTGCAAATATTTAACTTGCTTTGATTTCCGAGAAATCGTTTACATTAGCAAATATGGTTAACACCCAAACATCTAAAGCTGCAGTTTAGAACGAACTGTAAATCATGCAAGTATTCAAGAATGGTGGAGACTGAAGTCATTTAAAATGAAAAATTTTTAAAGTACTGGGATACTGGGAAACCATTTGAAAATTTGTCTTTTACATAAGATAAGTGTCAATTTTAAGTATTGAATTCGGAAAGAAGTGCAAGTATTGGAAGGAATTTATTATGAAGTTTATTATGCAGATACATTTTTATAGTGTCGTAATTGATTAGGAACTGTTTAGGAAAAACAAAATTTAAACAATTTTAATACATGCCGTAGAAAAGTATAGAATTTAATGATATAGAATCTGTATAATAATGTTTATCATATTAGTCATATACACTCTTTTGCAAAAAAAATCGAAGCACCCATGAAGGAAGTGATTGTTTTTGATGAAATTGAATATGTGTATAGTTTATGCACAGACAATAAAATGGTTAAAAAATCAAGGTCATAGTACCTGGTCATGGCTCACAATCACCCATTGAGTGTTCAAATTAGTAGTTGGTTGAACCACCCCTGCCGGCAATGTATGTTTGAACTCGTTGAGGCAAGGAGTGGTAGAGGTTCCTAATGTCATCCTGCGATACATTCTGCCAGGCATTCATCACTTGTCACTCCATATGTGCAATATTTTGTGGTGTCCGAATCTGGTGGCCTACCATATCCCAGACATGCTGATTGGTGAAAGGTCTAGTGACCGTGCTGGCCAAGGAAGAGTATCAACACACAGAGACAGTCCAGAGATATGCGAGCGGCATGTGGCTTGGCATTATCTTGTTGGAAAATGGCCCAGGATGACATGCCCTGAAGGGTTATGCAACCTGCCACAAGATGCTCTCAATATATCGTTGAGCTGTTAAAGATATACTGAGGATGACTGTTGTCATAAGAAATAGCGTCCCACACCATCACACCAGGGATTATGGCTGTATGCCTTTGTAAAACAAAGGCTGATTGGGACTGCTAGCCCTGTCCTCTCTAGACATGAACATGGTAGTCATCTGCTTCAAGAGTGAAGTGAAATTCATCGCTGAACACTATACGATGCCAATCTGATGGCAGCCATGATGATCGGAGGTGACACCACTCCAGACGACTCCACCAATGTTGTGGGGGCAAAGGCAAACGTTTTAAAGGCCTCTGTGAGCATAAACTCACATCAGACAAGTGGCATGAGATGGTGGACGGTACCACGGGAGGTATAGACATGGCTGTAGTGCTTTGATACCATTGGGTATCAATGATACCATTGGGGTGGTTCAGCCCTGGCGAACAGTTATCCTATCTTGCCTCACATTTGTGCTCCTTGGCCTTCCAGAGCATTCATTTTGTCGATAATTTCCTTGTACCAATTATTGTTGCCAATATCTTTGCACAGCAGTGTCTGTACGCTGCAGGTGGCAGCCTATTGCTCGGTATAACCACTCAATTTCACGCAACCCTACAATTCGACCACGTTTAAAGTCATTTAGTTGTATGTAAGGTCTTCGGTATCATCGTAATCCCATCTTTAATTGCTTCTTTACGGAATTACAGTACAATGACTCTTTGATATAGGAGACGATTAAAACTATCAAATTTTATCTGCAAAAAATGAAATTTTTGAAGGACTTTTTCTAAAAAATCCTATAAATATTATCCTATAAATCTTTGTTACTCTAAATATGTAGTTTAAAATAATTTTACTAACTTCTAAATAGTAATTTTTTTATTTAAAATAAAAAATTAATAACTTGTTTTAAAATTCTGAAAATTTTTTAGTAATTTACATTTAACATTAAAGAGGCCTTTTTTTGTGTGTGGGGAGGTTGAGTTGGAAAACAAAAACCAAGTTTTAAGACAGATATCTAAGAAGTGGCTTGCATGATTATTACAGTCGTCAAAAGTCGTTAATCCGGACTCGTCGGGACTTCGGCGATTCCGGATAATCGATTTTTCCGTATTATAGATCATCAGTTTAAATCTGGTAAGATGGTATGCAGAAATTACAGAATTAAAAATATGAAAATGTAATTTATGAAATAAAGAACAATTATGATATAAAGGGTATCAAAATTTACAAAAAGAAAAAGCTTAATATTTATTTGTTTACTTTATTAAACATTTCTTTCAATGTAAGTTGTTTAAGTTTTGCTTCGTTTCATGTGATAATACTTTCTCTTTAATTCTATTAAACAGACATAATTTCTTGTTTAGTTACAAAGTTCCGCTGTTCAAGTCCTATAATTGCTGTGTTGAGAATACCGACTAATTTGTCAATCGAAATGTTTTCGTTTTCAATAACCTCTGGGTCACTTTCTTCACTATCGGAAGCGAATTATAATGACGAGGAACTTGATTTAAATCATATTAAAGACGAAGTACATCGAGATGAAATACTACACTTAGTAAGGAATTATAAGCCAAATAAAATAAAAACATCTGCCCGGAAGATAAGGATAGTGCTGACAGATCAACTTCCAATCCACGGCGTGAAATTGATAAACAGATTTCGGATTTCAAACATACTTTCGCTTTGTAGATACAAATTACATATTAGTAAATGTATATCGGAAATTCTATTTGACATAATCGAAAGTTCAAGCTTACTTTTATGAAATTGCTCTAACAGTCTGCAAAAAATAATAAGCCGGATCCAATTCGAAGATTAAGGAACAACGCAATCTGCAACATTAACTGAATTAGATAATTTTAGCTTATACGTCCATTATACATAAAACGTGCACGCGAAAACGTTACACATTAAATGCGCATGCTCACAAATATATTCGCAGCCGTAAAGGTCTTACGCGCACTCTTAAACGCCTGTGCGTGAACGCAACGCATGGGCAGAAAGTTTGTAGCTTTGAGGTCCGGATTATAGATCATTCTGCATTGTGGGTGTCCGAATTAACGACTTTTGACTGTATAAAATTTGTTGTTTATGCATAGTTTGAGGCATTGAATTGAATTATTGGGGGGATTGGCATGCCATTACAGAAGAAGTTCAATTTTGATTCAAAATATATGTGTTAGAGTAATACTGTCTATAAGTCTAATATTCTAAATTATACCTTTGAGTTCTAAAAGATGCAACTTAAAGATTGTTTATAAGCCAATTAAAACAAGAGATACAGAACTGTCTTTTCCCTCCCCCCTTTTTATCATACGTACTTGCAAGCATGAGTATTATCCAAGAACTGTTATTCATAAAATATGTTTTAATTTTGGTGCTACTTTCGTAGACGGTTGCACGGATTTTGGCGATTTTTCTTTTGGCGAATAATACAACTTATGGTAAACCCATTGCTGGATGAGTTATTTATGGTAACCGATACTTTGCTGTCATTTTATTAAAAAAATAATGCATTTTATTATGCATAAATTCGGTGTTTTAAATATTATTTATGGCTTCTAAATATTAAAAATCAATTTAATTTTGCATTTTTATTTGAAATAAAAATTTTGTTGTTTATAATATTTGATATAATTTTATGTTGTGGATGATGTAATCAACGACGTCACCTTACATAAAAGTAATTGGTTTTATTAATATCTATAATTTAATCTAATGTTTTAAACATTATTTATGGCTGTTAAATATTAAAATACAATTTAATTTTGCATTTGTTTTAAAAATGATTTTATTATGAATGATTATTTAAATAATTTTAATTCTATGCATGATGTAATCAGCTCCCTGATTGGTTACTGAATATCTGTGCATTACCGCACCATTTTAAAATTTTATTATTCATCTCTTCGAATTCCTCAGATTTCAAATAAAATGGATATCTCCGTTTCGAAGATGAATGTTGTTATTGGGAATTACCAAGAATTATTGGTATTGAAATAAAAAAATTGCCCTTTGAGACCTTATTTTGGCCAACCTGTCTTTCCTAATCAAAGATTTTATTTATAAATTGTTAATAGCATTAGAGGAAATTTATTTTGAATTTTTGGTGGAAACCTTGCTAATTGCTTCTACCATAAAGTGCGATGAAGATGGTTAAAAGAGCCGATTCAATTATGATTCCAATTTTTTTGTGGTACTTATCAATAAACAACAGGTTTAAATGACTCAAAAAATGTAAGTACATATTTTTCTTTTATTTTATAATTGTATACTTCAATTTTTGTTAAAAAATTAATACACTATTTTCAAAAATTGCTGAGATAATTATTGTCACATATGTTTTAATGTTAATTATATTCTATATAACATATTTTAAAGTATTTGAATTTAATAATTTGATATTCAATTTCAGTAATATTTTAATCTAATTAAACGTTGGCACAATGTTTTTATAGCGGTGTTTTTATTCTCTTTTTTGCTATATGAAAGTAATAATAATAGCCTTACTTTAGTATTTTATACTCATAGTAAATGTATTTATTTACACTTGCCTGCCATCTTAAAAAATGACATTTTCAACAAAAAATTAATCCATTACTTTTAACGTTTTTTTTTTTTTTTTTTTTTTTAAGTTTTGAATACTTTACTATGCGTAAAAACAGCGTTTTTCAAGATGGCTGACGATTGTAAAAATTGCGCCAACAATTGTGCCAACGTAAATCGCCAAAAATCCGTGCAACCATCTACCAAAGTAGTACCGTAATTTTTTATAAATTGTAAAATAAAATAATTTTGCTTTGGGCATTTACTGATTGTAGACTTAACTGGTTTTCATGTAAGAGGTAGATTAGATTTCACTTTTTCTTGTTATGCGAGAGCATCATCAGTGTTACGTAATATCATGCGACAGTTTTTTATTTTAGGAAGGATACACTTCAAAAAGTTTAATCGTATTGCTATTTTATAGAAATGCATATTATCTAAGATAATATTCTATTTGTAATTATAATGTTCACTTGTGGTTATATTGATTAGTGGATATGTTTTTGAAATTTCTAAATTTATTTGACCTTAAAATCAATTTGAAAGAAGAATTTATATTCACATTTCATACTGTAAAATGTTAAAAATTTTTTTAGTTTGCAATAAACATATTTTTAAATGCATACATTTTTTTTACTGAATTTTAAGAAATTGATGTTGACTTAATTATGTTATTATTTGCAGCCCACCTATTATACTTGGTGTTACAAACCCGTTTTTTGCTAAAACATTGCAACATTGGCCTCACATTATTAGAATTGGGGATCCACAAGGTATTGCCAACTTCATTTAATCCTAGATGCTTTATATTTTTCCATACTTTTTTATGTATATGTAATGTTGCTAGAAAATTCTGGACACAGTTTTGTTCTGAAAGTATCTTTATTTTCTGCCATGACTTCAAAAACTGAGCATAACACCACAGCAGTCTGTGGTAGAATTGCAAAATAAGTGGTTGGATGAAAGAACCTGAAAAGCAGGTACTCATCTTAAAAGTTCTATGTATATGCAATCTATGAACACTAAAGAAAAGCAAATTATGATAGGTGGATAAATTTAAAATGCAAGGGTACTTTATTATTATTTGCTATAAAAAGTTTTGTATGAATATATAAAGTATTTGACTTTTCTGTTTTCATATATAAGCATATGCATCAGCAACATTGTGTAAATATTATGTGACAAGAATTTATTTTAGGAATGACTGCTTAAAGACTAAAAGATTAAGAATAAGCTTGTTGCTGTTTTTAAGATAGAAAGAAGAAATTTGCAGAAGAATTTAGAAGCTGTAACGAATTAATTACTCATATGTATATATAAGATAAAAAATATGTGAATCAAAATTATAATTTAAACTAACGGTAACTTTTATTCTCTCTCTCGGTTCTAAAAATTGTAAAAACTTATCTCGATTTCATCATTTCTAGCATCTTCCATTTTGCAGCTGATGGCGTAATAATTAGAAACTGAAACTTTTTAACTCAAACCAAAACCTTTCTCTTTGTGTGCTTCCATCTTTGCATAACTATGCACTTCAGCTTCTCTTGCTTGGACATAACTTCGCTGTCTTGTTTGCTGTTGCAAGAATATCAAAAATATAAATGTTGTGTAAAAAGGCACGACTAGAGTGCCAAGTGATTATGGCCACAAGCTTCAACTGGAAAATAAAAATGGAATTAAAACTGCCTCGACTGCCAAACTTCTTAAATATTATTAAGTCAACATATTAACATACTATGCAATCAGAAAATCAGAAGTCTTCCTTTTCAATATGGATCGACAATCTGTCCTATCTGGGTATTACGCATTAACAGTTCTCTGTTTTTCCCTTGCTATTATTTCATATATATATATAATAAATAAATAGATAAATAAATATATTTATATATATGATATATATATATGAAAGCAAACTTCTAACTTTAATTCACTATAACCTCTTTTATTTTCTATTTCATTTGGGAACTTCATCTCTCTGTCCTAAAAATAGCACTTTAGTCTAAACTGCGTCATTCAAATTAATCATGTAATCTTACGTAACTGTTAATGCAGATGCCTCTTGACCAATCACCAAATGCAAACCAAAACTTTTCTCTTCGCTTTCTTCCATCTTGCATACCTATGCACTTCAGCTTTGCTCTCTACTTAGCTAAGATGCAATTCCGCTGGCTTGCTTTCTTTCTCAACAATATCAAAAATGTAATCTTCTGTGGAAAGGCACGACTAGAGTGCCAAGTGATTGTGACCACAAATATCAATTGGAAATAAAAATGGAATTAAAACTGCCGTGACTGTGAATGTTTTTAGAAACTATGCAATGAAAATTCTTCTTCAATATGGATCTAAGCATGTACCTACAGTGTTCCGGCTTTTCCTTCTGCTTTTTATTATTTCATATATATATATTTTAATAAATCAAAGGGAATTAATTAAAATTAAGGGGAACATAATTGACAGAAGCAGGTAGAGTTAATTTGGTGGAGGCAGATATTTCCATCTTATTAAATTTTGGAATTTTCAGACAATGCACTTTCTGTCCTGACCTGCTTTCAGCAAGAAAATATGCAGCTACTTTTTTAACACCTTTTTTCTGTGAATTAATATCTGCCTGCTTGCCCAACTGCACACATACATGCAATGCCTCTCTGTTTGCATGTATTTATTTATTAGCTGAACTTATTCATTATTTATTAGCTGAAGAAATAATTCTTTCTGCAATAAACACTGAATTTCAGAAAGAACAAACATCACATTCTTCCATTCTCGCCACCTGTTAATTTTTCAGATTGTAGCTTTTTTGTAGCTATATACAGTGTAGAAAGAAGAGTTTCCAATTCTGAAAGATATTCTACAGTCTTTCTGTTAGTAAAACATTAGGGTTATCTACATCTTCTAAAAAAGTTCTTAATTCTAACAACCTCTATATCATCAAATATGTACTTACTTATCGTGTTGCTTGATCAGTAATTACTCCTTTTCCTGCTCGCTTCCTAAGAACAGCATCAATTTTGGGAATTCTTGTTGCTATTGCTGCTTACCTAAATTTACCAGGGAGATTTGTAACTAAATGAATCAGTCTAATCACTAATGGAAAATATCACATCCATTCTCCTCCCTTATATTTATTTATTAATATGTGAATAAAATAGAAAATAATTATTTATTAATGTATATAGTCCATTAAAAATAATAACTCAGTTTGTCATTAATTTGTTTTTCAATTCACTTTAATTTCAATGAAAGAAGTCAGAGCGACTCCAGCTCTGACTTCTTTCATCCCAGCCCAACTCCAACTCCATGACTTCGACTCTGACTCCACAGCCCTGGGGTGTAGTGACTTGTATGTTTATACATTGGTACAGAAATGCTTGCCTGTGAATAAATGTTAGCAGGTATTTACTTCCTTGTACGAAGTAAAAAGGAAGTATTGTAATCGCGAAAAGTTTCAGGCAGCACATTTCAACGAAAATATCCATTTTGACCACTATCGAATGAAATTTAACGATGTTTTTGCATAATATCTGTACGTGAGGACAAAATAAAATACTCTTTTCCCTCAAAAAGATTATAAAACTGCTTTAAAATGACTTCTGAAGAGAATTTTTCGTGGCGTCTGTACGAACGTATTCTGAGTTATAATATGAACAAAATATAATACTGTTAAGTACGTATCTCGCATAACTCAAAAGCGAGTAGCCTCAGAACAATGAAATTTTGTATATAGGACTGCTAATACATGTAGATGTGCACCTCGTATTTTGGTTGCAATTGGCCACACCAAACGTATATAAATATATTTATCTATATATCCACTCTGTTACCCGGCTCAGTGATCTCAGTTTCTTTACCCTTATATGTTTGTAAATTGTACAGTTTTTGCTTTAAAAATGATTGAATTATGTTGTTCTTATCTTCCAGTTAAGGATTTTATGCCTTTAGTAAATCTGTGTGCAATATTTTTAGAATTATCAGCAATTTTAAAGTTGTTTAATTGCCGTTAAGCCTGTTTTCAATGGCGGCCATTGATGTTTACATTTGAAACAGGAGACTAGTGGATTTGTTGCCAATCTAGAGAAACTTAGCTTCCCAACAACAAAGATAACACATTCATTTATTATTGCCAATTAAATCATGCTGAATTCTTTCTGGAATTTTTCCGAGGAAATAAGCATTTGAGATTTACTTTGTAATTTTTAATACAGATATTTTGACTTTTTATGTATTTTTGCCTTCTCGCGAAGTGAGAACTGAATTAATTGAATGAGAAATACTCAATTGTCTGTGAAAAACTGTTTCTTTTTTGTTTTGTTTGCTTAATTTCTTTTATACATCATTCTAGCTTTATTATAGTATTTGAATAGAACATGTGGCAATGATTACATAATTCTTTAAATGATATAAATTTTGTGCATTCTGAGTTATAATATGAACAAAATATAATACTGTTAAGTGAACCTAGTGTCAGAGTGTCGCTATGGTAGACAAATAGAGTGAATTTTAAAGAATGCATTTATTCTATTGTGGTTTATGTGCTGTCGGCGAAGTAGATTTAATTCAATCCAATAAGCTTAAATGAAATGCAAGAAAAAATGCGTATAATTTAATACTTTGTACAAGGAAGTCATGTGGTGTACGCATCAGATTTTTATTATTCATCATTCAATATTGCTGCTCTCTCTTTTTTTTTTTTTTTTTTTCCTCTCTTTTAGATTTTCATGATATAAGTATGCAGGATTTATTGTTTTTATTTGTTTGGTACTTTTCCGTTTTGCCGGTGCAAACATCGCCAAGCAGACTTTGCTGGCGACACCATACAGTATATACATAAAAAATTTTAACAAATGTTAGTGCTAAGAATTTTTCATTTTGAAGGCATAAACATTTTAATATGGTTCAAAATTTTGTAAAAAGACATTAATTTAAGAATTTACTATGCTTTCATGGTTAAACATCTTGATTCGCTGGTTCTTATCACGTGACCCCAGGTGATCTCATTTCACGTAAACTAAGCTACAAAAATCTAATTCTCTCAGTAATTATCTACATTAATTTCAAGTTAAATCTTAATTTGGAATACTAGTTTAAATGCAAGAATTATTTCAATTTGTACGAATAGCTTACTCTTTGCTTTCTGGCATCCTAATTGACTTAATTACCGCAAATGGTCTTAGGGTATAAAATTTAACTATCTTGTAAAAATTCTATGTAATTGTATGCCAGTATTGAAAGAAACAATCAATCTGATAAGAAATGGCTGCGACTTGTTTTGAAAATGAAACGTAAAAGGTTACCATCGAAAATATTCCGTTTGGCCTCAGTTGTACCATTATTGGCGACTGTATCGTTCGTGCCGGCAAAGCGGAAAAGTACCATTTTTTTATTCGCATGTCTTTTTTATTTTCAAACAGGTCAACTCTGAGGTATTTAATAATGCAAGACTTTTTAGCTTGCAGAAGCAGACCTAAATCTTAAGCTGTAGCTTTATATGAATTTTAAATCAGTTCATCATGAATTATATTTTGACTTTTATTTTCTTATATATGTATATGTTCATTAAAAAACTTCAGTATTTTTCAGATTCTACTGGTCCGAATAAACATAAAATAAAAAGAGCTGGTAGTATTAAGGCTTTAGATTCTAAACCTGGTAAGTATTCTGCATTTCATATTTATAACATTTTAAACATGAAGATACTGCATTTTGATTAAGTAAATTATTATCTAATTTTACAGAAAGAGAATACTTAAATAATTTGACTCATCTGAATTTAAATGTGTTGCCATTAATATATACACAGATATATCCTTCTTTATTATTTATTTCTATATTTAACATGTGACTAAAGGTTAAGTAATAAAGGGGGGAAAATGTCATATATTTGAGTTTTGAAATGAGAAAAAAATGTTTTCTCTCCGTTTGGTTTTCCTTTATGTTCAGATGTACTGCCTAATTCAATATATTAGGTAATATGTGTTCACATAAGAATTTAAAATTTTTAATGGACTTTTATTAACAGCAGTTAAAATTTCACTCCACTGCAGTTAAAATTTCACTGGAGAGAAGAATTAAATTAATAGCTATATAAAGGTGCTTTTTAGTAATTCTGTTAAATGAAATCCAGTGAAAGATGGTTGGTAGCTCAAGCTCAACAGTATCACATAGTCCAATGAGATTCACTTTCACTAAACAAGAGATGTGCAAATTTTTGTATTTTTTCCCTACACTTGTGGAAAGGAATGCAACAGCATGGTTCAGATTCTAATTTCAAGGATTATGCTAGTACTTGGATAAAAACCTTTGCTTGTGGAAATGTGAGTGTGTTGTTTAGAAGTTCTCCGATAGATTGTGAGAAATGCTATGTGATTGGGAAATTGGCAGCTGAACAGACACCAACATAGGTCTATAAAGACCTAAAAGTAGCCAAAAGCATCAGTTCAAGAATATAGAAATTGTTTAAAGACACTGACAATATATGCAGAAACAAGGTAAAAGTCAGAAGTGTGTCATACCAGACCTCTCAGTACTATTATTTGGCAATAATTGCTAAAAAAAAAAGTAAACACCTCACATTAGCCCAAACTGCAAGGGAGTTTGGTACAACTACAAGAGCTCAACTGTCTAGATATACCATGAATGACAGGCTACATAAAAGAGGGCTGTATGCAAGAAGATCCATAGTATCTGTCCCGCAAACTCAGGTTGTGAAATGTGCCTTGTTGAAATGCTGCAGAGATTGTGTTGGAGCAACATGGATTGGAGCCAAGATCTTTTTATTGGTGAGCCTTGTTTTCATCTGAAGAGTGATTCCAGACATGTTACAATCTGAAGGGGGCAAAATACAGACAATAAGCCTGAAAACATCAGCATAAAGAACATGGAATCATGTTAAGGGCAGGCATTGTTTTGAATGTCTGTATTGGAGTTTCATGTATTTACTAGTGCAACTATGAATGTTGAAATATGTTGAGTTGAAGTTTTTGATTTTTCTGTCAAGTTGTTAAGGGTTGCAATCAGTAGTAACTTCCTCCGAATAAATGATAATATTCATCCCCATTGTGCTTTATATACTAGTGACCAATAATCTTGATGGACAAGGAGTCTAGTAGTTTGAGTGCAGTGCATACTCTTTGGATTTAAATCTCATAGAACATGTAGGATGCTGACTTGCATCACTGGGGTTCGCACTTAGCAATATCCAGTATTAAAAAATTAATATTTTCTTAGTTTCTTTAAAAGTTTTATTTAAAATGAAATATCAAAATTCTGGCTACCTTTTCTTCCCAGGTGGTGACTGTATCTCCTTCGATGTTGATTCAGCATACAATGAATGATAACGGAACTAAATGACCACACGGTTAGACTAACACTAGAATATAGTTAAAACAACATTAAAATTTCTATCTCTTTTTCCGCAGTTCAAAGTGCATTGTAGTTAAGGCTCTGCTTTTAACACTCCCCCTTTTGAGTTTCGGGAGCACTGATCCGGAACTCAACACATTTTTGTCCATATCTTGAGGGAGGTTTAACAACATGTCCAGTTCTTGTTGTAACAAGATGGTAATCGGGATTCCCGGCGCGCAATGAATTGGAAGTTGATCTGTCAGAACTATTCTTATCTTCAGGGCAGATGTTTTTATTTTATTTGGCTTATAATTCCTTACTAAATGTAGTATTTCATCTCAATGTACTCCGTCTTTGATATGATTTAAATCAAATTCCTCGTCATCATAATTCGCTTCCGATAGTGAAGAAAGTGACACAGAGGTTATTGAAAACGAAAAAATTTCGATTGACAAATTAGTCGGTATTCTCGACACAGCAATTATAGGACTTGAACAGCGGAACTTTGTAACTAAACAAGAAATTATGTCTGTTTATAGAATTAAAGAGAAAGTATTATCACATAAAACGAAGCAACTTACATTGAAAGAAATGTTTAATAAAGTAAACAAATAAGTATTAAGCTTTTTTTTTTTTTGTAAATTTTGATACCTTTTAGATCATAATTATTCTTTATTTCATAAATTACAGTTTCATATTTTTAATTTTATAATTTCTGCATGCCATCTTACCAGATTTAAACTGATGATCTATAATCTGGAAAAATTGATAATCCAGAATCGCCGAAGTCCCGACGAGTCCGGATTAACAAATTTTGACTGTATAAACTGCACAGGTTAAAATTAGGATTCATATCTTCTTTCTTTCTTTCAGTAGTAATAGACCTGCTACATCCACTCCAATAATTTCAAAAATGCATGCGTTTTTTACACGATCTTCAGGAAACATTCGTACTGGAATATCGGGGTTTCACTCTAAATCTTTGACAAACAATGCAAGTTTTGATTACTGCTTTTATAGTTTGTCTACTTTTCAGTATCCAATAATTTTCCCTCCAAGCTGCCATTAGTGACTGTATTCCACAATATCCAAGCTCTTGACGTTGGAACAGAATCAGGCACTTAACTGCATGATGATCTGATGGTAGAACAATCGGACTCAGAAATTTTCATCGTCATCTCTCAAAAGAAGTTTTGTTTTAATTCTCAAAATTCCACCAGCGTCTGTAAATATCGACAATGATTTTAGACGTTGAGTTTTCTCAATATGGAAAGAGTCTTCTTGAACTTTTTTCAAAATTTTAAGGTCAGCTTCTTTAAGCTCTTCAGTAGATAGTTCTCCTGAAATTTTGTTAGGTGTCTTAGAATTCCTATAAAACTTATAAATCCAACTAGTAATTCTAATTATTCTCTTATAGGAGGTTATGTGGTTTATATTATCATTACTCTGATTCATGTGAGACGCTATAGTTTTCTTCTTTTCTGCATTTACCACATCTTCGTCAGGTGGCAGATCATAATCCAGCCATTTATCTTTAGAATCTTTAAGCCAGGGAGGTCCTTCATGCCATTTTTGCTTTAGTAAGGTTTATACTGAGCAACCTCTTGATGGTATGTCGGCCGGATTTTGAGATCCAGGAACAAACTTCCATTCATTGGATTCTGATAGAGTTCTAATTTCATTTACACGGTTAGATATAAACGTTTGCCACGGCCTTCTCTTTGATTCCAATACAGTATGTCTGTGGAATCGGACCAGTAGACTGACTGAATATTTTCTAACTTCAAATCTTTTTTCACTGCATTGGTTAATCTAGCCCCAATAAGACAAGCTAGCAATTCCATCCTCGAAATCGATAATCCCTTCAAAGAAGCAATTCTTGATCTAGCTTGTATTAATTGACAAGTTACCTTTCCCTCCTTTTCAGCTCTAAGAAAAATACAGGCCGCATATGCAAACTTAAACGTGTCACAAAATGTATGCAATGTTATGTCGGATTCACTAAGGTCTAAATCAGATAGTCTGAGGTATCTTGAGGTTTTTATTTTCTGGTAACTGATCTTCCCATTTTTCAAATCTTGAGGATTTTATTTAATTAAATCTTCCAGTAATTTAGATTCCCATGAGATTGCCAGCATTCCTGAAGAAGTGGTTTAGGAATTAACATTAACAGGCAAGTGAAACCTATTGGATCAAATAATTGATGTGCTTTAAACAAAATCTTTCGTTTAGTAATCGGTTCATTGTTCTTCTCAGTTTCTGTCAATTGGCATGACAGGGTGTCATTTTTAGTATCCCATTTGAGACCTAAAACTGATACATCGTTTTCATCTACATAAGCTGAGCTATCTCTAATGAAATCTTGTATCTCAGGAAGATAATTACTTCTCCATCCACGTAAGTCAAATTTAGCTGCTTTTAGAATTTTTTGAGACTCTCTTTTGAAATATTCTAAGTCAGCAACAGAGTCAATACTTGCAACATAATTATCCACGTAAAATGAATCTTTCAGTTTCATTGCAATTCCTTTCAAAGGCCTTCCTTCTTGTTCTAGATCATGATTTAAAACAGGTGCAAGTAAAAAAGGGCTGCTTGAAATACCGAATACGACTCTGCAATGTCTGTATGTGATTAACTGTTGGGGATCTCCATCTTTCCACCACATAAACCGTAAAACATCTCAATCATTTTTGTTTAGGCTTATCAGCAAGAAGGCTTGCTTGATATCTGCAACAACTCCGATATTTCCCCACCTAAACTGATTTAAAATTGTCGGAATCATTTCAATTAGATTGGGACTCTTCTCGATGCAGTCATTCAATGATACAGAGCTGCTAGTTCTAGCAGAACCTTCAAACACAGGACAAACTTTAGTGGTAGAGTTATCTTAAAATATCTCTCTATGTAGCAAATAATGAATACCCAACTTTTCGTGATCAACTCTTTCAGTGATACCTTCTTTTTCCCATTGATTGAAAACCTCTTCATATTCATTTAATTGATTCTTTGATTTCAGAGATTTCACTGTGATTTTAAGTCTTTTTTGGGCTAACTCTTTATTATCAGGTAAAGGAGGATGTCCTTGTAACCAGGGTAAATGAACCTTGTATCTGCCACTACTGTCTCTGCTAAGAGTTTCTCTGAAATGTTTCAAAGCCAGTTCTTGAGTCTCTGTTTTAGTGCGTTTTTCACCACTATCTTTAATACTCAAAGTATCTAAACTCTAGATATCTTCAATCTTTGTGTTTTTCATGTAAAGTGGCAATACTAGCATTGAATTATTTGCCGAAGCATCTTTTTTCTTATATTTACCCATTACTGTCCACCCCAAGAGAGTATGAACTGCAACTAAGCCTTCTGAAAGATGCTTTATGTTCCCCGTTAATAATTCTCCCGCACAGTCAGCTCAAATGAGTAAATGGATTTCATCTGAATTATTTTCATGTAGACAAGATCTATCATTTAAAACCATATCACTTATTAAAATACCAAGATCTTTTAATTGGTTTAAGCAATGCAAATCATTCAATTTAGGAATAGAAGCACAAATTTTATTTTCGTCTAAAACTTCTAATTCACAATTAAAGCTTCCATCTATGTGAGTTTAAAGCGATATTTTTTGTGCTTTTCTGTGTGTGTAATTCCACTGAATAAACCATGGCTTACAGCTATTTCTCCTATCTTCTTTAATTTCAAGTGGTGAGCAACAAATTTAGACACATAACTTGTTTGGCTACCCATGTCTATAATTATTCTTACAAGGTATTTTATATTGTTTTCCGTAATATACACTATCGAAGTTTGAAGATAAACCTCACTTGAACAGTTATTATTCGAAAGAACTGTGTTCTGACAAACGTCCTTTATTTCAGTAATTACAGCATTATCACATGACTGTTTTTTTGTCTGAGTAACACATTATTTTCAAATGTCTTTTGCTGCCACATATGCTGCACTTTACCTTTGCTAAACATCGAGAAGAAATATGACCAGATTTCAAGCATCGGAAACCAATTACGTTTTTAATTAGAAGTGATTTCTTGTTTTCATATGGTAAACCCTTTCTGTGTAAACAATCTGTGCTTAAATGTAAATTCTTTCCACAGAAGGTACAATGTTTAGATTTGAAGGCCAAATTACAGATTAATAACTCAGAAGCTGTCACGGGACACAACTTTTTTTTTTTTTTTTTTCTAATCGCACGCCAACCGGTCTGGAATTAGTAAATGTATCTGGGTGTAACACTGGGGAGTTATGAAAATGCAGTTCTGTTTTTTCTTTAGCCATTAACTGTTTGTGCAAAAAGCCAATTAGATCATTAATAGAATATTCATCTCCTATTTCTTTATTCAATTCGAATACAGTCAAAAGTCTTTAATCCGGATGTCCATAATCCGGAATGATCTAGAATTCGGACTTCAAAGCTACAAACTTTCTGCGCATGCGTAAACGCAGCGCATGCACATCATACTTTTACGCATGCACGTTTAATGTATAATGGACGGTATAAGCTAAGCTAAAATTATCTAATTATCTATTTCAGTTAATGTTGCAGATTGCATTGTTCCTTAATCTTCTAATTGGATCCGACTTATTGTTTTTTGCAGACTGTTAGAGCAATTTTATAAAAGTAAGCTTGAACTTTCGATTATGTCAAATAGAATTTCCGATTCTGGAGCTGCCAAAGGATCTACAAAGCGAAAGCATGTTTCGATTTCCATTAAACAAAAAATGGATAAAGGCATGAAGAAAGTGACAGAGAGGTGATTTGTTTCTCTAACCATTCTGAAATCTGTTTATCAATTTCACGCTGCTCTGCGGGGGAGGGTGCATCGCGGCACGCAGGGAACTGGAAGTTGATCTGTCATCACTATCCTTATCTTCAGGGCAGATGTTTTTATTTTATTCGGCTTATAAATCCTTAACTAATTGTAGTAAACAAATAAATATAAAGCTTTTTTTTGTAAATTTTGATACCCTTTAGATCATAATTGCTCTTTATTTCATAAATTACGGTTTCATATTTTTAATTTTATAATTTCTGCATGCCAGCTTACCAGATTTAAACTGATGATCTGTAATCCGGAATCGGCAAAGTCCCAACGAGTCCGGATTAAAGACTTTTGACTGTACAGTAGACTCCCGATTATCCGCGGGGGGATTATGCGTGGAACGGATTATCCGTGGCTGCTGCACAAAGTTTTTTTTTTTTTTTTCCTCCAGCATAAAGCAAAGAAAATAAAGATGTCCACAAAACTGAGCGAAACGTTAAATTTGCTAAACATCGTGCTTATTTATGGCAAAAATATCCCAGGCCTTCTCGGAACCTTCCTCTCGGCCTTCTTGGAACCTTCTCCTCGGCCTTCTCGGAACCTTCCCCGCGGCCTTCTTGGAACACGTCCACTTCCTCCCACTCGCCATTGTTAGTTTAAGCCTGATAGTGTTTGAGAACCGGAGTTAATTTCTTATCTTTTTTTGTGTTCAGTGCTTGTGCGTTTTGGTTTTGTGTTTTTCGTTACCGATTTAAAATGTCAGGAAAACGAAAGAAGGTTATGTTAACGATTGCACAAAAACTAGAAATAATTTCCAAAGTAGCAAACGGCATTACAAGGCAGCAGATGGAATTGGATTACGGAATCGAGGAAACAACAGTGCGTGACATTCTAAAGCAAAAATATAAACTGGTGAACTTTGCATCAATGTCGGACAGTGCTTCCACAATGAAAACAAGAAAAACTATGAAGGGTTCTACCTTTGATGAGCTAGACACGGTATTGACAGAATGGTTAGCTCAAGTTCGAAAAGAGGGTATTCCTGTAAATGGTCCTATCATTGCGGCGAAGGCAAAAACCTTTTTTGAGTTGTTAGGCCTGAAAGGAAATTTTGATGCGTCTTCTGGCTGGTTGACTCGTTTTAAGCAGCGACATGGAATTCGAGAAATTGGACTTCATGGGGAGAAACTTAGTGGTGACCAACAAGCAGCCAACGATTTCCACCATGAATTTGAAGAATTTGTTTTAAAAGAAGAGCTATCTTTTGAACAAATTTACAATGCCGACGAATCGGGACTTTTGTGAAAATGTCTTCCCACTCGCGTTTTAGCATCTGAAAGTGAAAGTAAAGCGGCGGGTCATAAAAGCAGCAAGGAAAGGATCACTATCATGTCTTGCAGTAGCGCTACCGGTGGACATAAACTTAGACTTGTTGTCATTGGAAAGTAAAAAAAAAAAAAAAAAATAAGATCTTTCAAAGGCACAAGGATAGAAAATTTGCCCTTTGATTACTTTAACCAAAAAGAAAAGGATGGATGAACTGAAATATTTTTCAAGATGGTTCGAATAAATCTTTGTTCTTCAAGTGCGTAAGCATCTTAAATCGAAAAACCTGCCTGAAAAAGCTGTGCTATTGATCGACAACACACCTTCTCACCCAGCAACAAGCATGCTAAAG